GTAAGATTTTGTATTTCTTGTAAATGTACAAATGTAACGAAATCAACTGTATATAATTTTGCTTGTATTCAGGTATGATATGTTCCCAACATTTCGACGTATTATGCTTTATACAGCCATCGAAAGAGAAGTCACTTTTCTATTCTCAAAAAGGACTGACAAAATTGAGAGCAGATGCAATTCCTACGTTACATTTAACGTTTGACATGTCGGAAGTAGAAACTACTTATTTTGATAAAAGACCATTACCATTAATTGATACATCGGATACATTAGAATCAACATGCAATGACATATTAACTTCTGAATCAAAGTGCAATGACACAGCTGACACATTTAGTGATAATATATCTGTGTCACAAGAAATCCAATTGATTCACAATACACCGATACTATCTACATCTGAGGATGTAACTGTTCTCTCAGAGAAACTGTGAGTTATAAATTAATGTTTAGAGACTTTTCAGTTTATTATACGAAAGAATAATGTTGGTTTTTATTATGTGCTTTCAGTAAAAGTGTTCAACAGCAATTAACATTGGCACAAAATAAATTGCGCATATATGAAGAGAAAGAGGAGAAATGTAATGAAAATTTGGAAGCAAAAATGTACGATCTGCTTGGAAAATCATTTACACCGGGGCAGATACGCTGCTTTCTAAATCCATCAAAAAAGTATGTAACATGGTCTTCAGAAGATATAGCAAATGCCATATCGTTACGATCTGTCAGTCCTAAAGCGTACCGATATTTGAGAAATGTTTTGAGGATACCTCTCCCTGGTTTATCGACACTTAGAAGGTGGGCATCTTCTGTTAAAGTGGATGTAGGTGTTATATCGTGTGTGCTTAGTTGCATGAAACAGAAAGGAAAATACTTAAAAGATTATGAAAAACTGGTAATATTAACATTCGATAAAATCTATTTGTGCAATAAAATTGCTGTAGATCGCAAATGTGAGCAAGTTATCGGACCTCACAAAACGTGTCAATGTTGCATGGTACGAAGCTTGCTTTCCAATTGGAAACAGTTAGTATATTTTAACTTTGATGAAGCTATGACTAAAAGCATGCTCTTTCATATTATTTCGGAAATGTATAATATAGGCTATACGGTTGTTGCGATGGCAAGTGATATGGGATCAAGCAATATGAGATTGTGGTCAGAATTAGAAATAGGAATTGAACCGAAAAAATGTTTTTTTCAGCATCCTGTTTGTAATGAACTCCAAGTTTTTGTATTTGCAGATATGCCTCATCTTTTGAAACTAGTGCGTAACCACTTCGTCGACAAGGAGTTTCATGTTAATGGAACAATTGTAAATAAAAAATGTTTGGAACGGCTTTTAGCAGTTAATAGTAAAGATTTGAAAGTGGCGTGCAAAATATCTGAGTACCATTTAAACCTACATGGTACTGAGCGACAAAAAGTACTCCCAGCTGCACAGCTACTGTCTGCTAGTACTGCTTCCGCGTTACAATGGTGTGGGCAAAAAGGTTATCTCGAAAATGTAGAATGGATAGAAACAGCGCGTGTAATTAAATTATTGAATGATTGGTTTGATATCTTTAATTCAAAATCAATGTATGGTAAACATTCAGGGAAAAATGCATACGGCAAAAATTTGGAGGAACAAAATGCAATACTTCACGAAGTGACATCTTTCATGTACAATCTAAAAGTAGGAAATCATAAAAGTTTAATGTTATTTCAGAAAGGGTTCATTGTGAGCAATAATTCTTTGGAACAATTATTACAGTACTTGATCGAGAAGTATTCTATGACTAATATTGAGTATATAATCACAAATCGGTTAAATCAAGATATATTGGAAAATTTCTTTTCTTTTATAAGATCGAATGGTGGTGCTAACGACCAACCATCAGCTTTAGATTTTAAGTATAGAGTAAAACGTTACATATTAGGCAAATTTTCTACAACAGTTTTCTGCAAATGTTCAAATGTTACAGAAAGTGAATCAAATGTATTTTGTTCAATATCTTCGCTTAACGATAATAATTGTGAAGAACATGTTTTAACAGATATGTTAGCGCCTTACATAAACGGAGACGAAACAGTCGATATTCATGTTGAAGAAGAATTGTTAACAGAGAATGATAGTAATAATAATGAAAATTGCGTTCCATGTTTTAATTCAGCTACATATATTCCTAGTTTAGAAGAAGAACAGATACTTAAATCATTTGATGATGAAATGGAAATTGTTGACGATATTGAAGATCAAAGTTTAATATATATAGCTGGCTACGTTGCATACAGGTTCAAAAATAAATATAATACACTAGGTATTGGAACATGCGAACTACCAATTGTAAATGACAATAATTGGTTACAATTCGTTTCCCGAGGGAAATGCATGTATCCATCGCCTAATCTTTTAAAAGCTGCACGTATCATGAACATAGAATTCTCAAAATATCACGGTTCAAAGCTTAGTACAGATAAGTTCATTTTTCAGAAACTTGCGGATATAATTGAAATTGCGTTGAAACCTATCAAACTACCAAGAGAAGTTTTGTTATGTCTTGTTAGGACGAGAACATACATTAGAGTACGGATAATAAATCGAAA